GTCCCGTCACTTCTTCACTAAACAGACTAATTAGCTTAGACTCAAAACAGACTTTATTGTGCCCATGCCATTGGCTGGCGGCTTCGATAAAGAGATGGTTTTCCGGTTTGTCTCTTATCAGCTCATACAGCCACACTACACCGTGAAACCAATTGCAGTTTTGAGTTCAATATAGAAGCATGGATTTCTGGGTTCAAATGTGGATTCCTTTGGAGTCCGTTGTATACAAAAGAATCCTTCTCCATGTTTACATAAAAATAATTCTACAAAGTTATTTTCGGATACATTCAGTTGGAATACTCAGAGACCGCCAGGTCTTCGAACATTTACTAACTTCTAAATATAAACCTCCTACATTATGCTCCTTAAACCTATAGTTAACACTCATGATTGCTTTTGTCCGTAGAACTTTTTTTACCATGCCAATCAACTAGCTAGCTAAATGTTAGACCTCTTCGAAAGCAACTACAAAAATTCAGATAATCCGTGCACTATGTGATGCGTATTCTTTTTCGATTTCCTGATTTAGCAAACTATGTAGAACTTCCGTTTCCTTTTCCTAGAGTGTATTACTTTTAAGTTTTATTATAAATAAGGATGATGTCTTGTTAATGAGCCTCATCCAAGCTAGAGAGAGCTTTAAGGTTTCGTAGAGTTAGGTCAAGGGAAACAACACAATTCTATTAGGTGTTTTCAAATTCTGTTTCTGTTCCTTTATTCAGTTTTAATAAAGAGCTTTTGGTCTATTAACCGTTGTCTTAACTCTATGGTATGATACTTACCAGTGTTGGATAAGCGTCGATTGCCTGAATTACTGTTCTCATGAAGAGTAAAGGCAGAGGTGTTCGATCAACCTGAAACCAAAAAGCATCACCGATGTAAATATTTAAATCAATAGTTGTTTTCCACGATATGTGCAACCTTGACATACCATCTCACCGAGGGCCTTTGCTAAGACTTGTTGCGTGAATACAGTGCGTTGTTCAAAGCATGCTGAGCATGCATCAGTTATCTAAAAACAAAACACATAGTCACGTAAGACTCTGCCAACAAGAGAGGAGTAGATAGAACAACTAGCACACTTCCAGAATTTCATAAAGAGTCCATGGCAAACAGATGAATCTAGTCTGCAGCAAGCCTGACATATAACTAGCAGTTGTTAGTTGCAAGTTTTTTAATCCTACAACATGAGATGAATCATCAATTTCGCATAAACAGCTTGCATGGACAGAAGTTACAGGGGAAAGTCTATTTTGCTTGAGAGAAGATAGCAGGTAATAAAAAGGCAGAGATAGGGATGGTAAAGAAAGAACTCCAATTGGATAATATACAACATCAGCCTAGGTCTAGTACCGAAATTGATTTCGAGCAAACAAGTGCAGGCCCTTCAAAAATACTTTCAAACCGGATGGAATATCAGGAAATACCTTTTTCAGTGGTGGTCCATCCTTCTCAGGAACAATATCATGGATAGCAATCAATACCTCGGCAGGTGTTAGGGCAGGGCCTGTGTGAGCGGAACCCTATCACAGATATAACAAAAAAGGATCCGAAAAGTTGTTACAGTGGAAGGAATTATATAATTCACCAGAGAAAGCACCACTTCTCAGACAAAAGATCACAAGAAGAATTCAAGTAAACAATTCTATGCAACATTGTTCTAACATATCTAAGATAACAGTATATCATCTCATAAAAGATAACAACGCCACGGCCAACCTTCTATGCATAGTATGACCAATAACAAAACAATTAAAGGATTGACCGTGCTGTGTCTACCTGTAATATATGCGCAAGTGCAAGTTGGAATTTATCTGGCGGAAGATTAAGAAGGGGAGGAAAGATGGGCAAAACCTGTTACATCAAAAAACGAAGGTCCGTCATAACTTAAGGAATTTTCTATCATCGATAAGCCATTACAATACATGCTAGTTCTGTATTTACACAATTTCACTTGGGCAATATAAGAGGGAAAAGAAACAATAAAAATTTACAAGCCTCTAGGGCAAAAGAAAAGTGGAAAAACCAGAATCCATGGAAATGAAGTAGAAAAGAACCTCGTCTTTAGTGAGTGAAGACAGTAATGGAATAAGAATTGAAACATCCTGCAAAACACAAATTATTTTGTAAGGCTTTGCAAGCTTGATTTTCATAAAAAAATTACAGACAATAAAAGATACGGAGAGCTCTTAGAACAAAGAAAACCTTTAGCTTCGTTTCATATAGATGCTTTACAGTAGCAATCAAATCGGTCGAAGGTGCCAATTCTTGTGTCAATATTTCCAACACCTTGACATAAAGAAAAGAAACAACGAACATGACTCAAAATTAGAGAATATTTTTGAGGCCGCCGTGGATTTACGACAAGGGTACACAGAAGCCACTTACCAGAGTCAGTAAATTTTCACTTCCCTTAGGAGGATCAGATATTATTTGAAGCAATTCCATATAAGATGAACCTAATTCTCGTATCAGCATAGGTATATGTCGATGAAAAGCCTGAACCATTTCAGAAAGTTACCAAAATAGGTCAATTTGATGTTCAAAAGAAATATCATATCTAATCTTTTCTGTACAATGCCACACAGGATGCACAGGGAGGAGCTAACTCACCTGGTTTACTGCTTTTGGAGCTCTCCCATAAACTTCAAAGACAAGTCGAAGGAGACTAGGTTTCTGGAAAAATCAAAGTATCTATCAGATTTACAGGCAATAATTAAGGGTAGAGAATACTTTAAATTAGGAGCAACTCCAAACACTAGACAGACCTTTTTACATAAAGCAAAGAACAGAGAAATTAGCCTCTGAGCTTCAGAAAATGATAAGGCAGAAACGTCACGAGAAGTTTGTAGATCCTTCTGAGAGTGAATGTCAGAAGTTCCAGACCATAGAGAGTCACTTCTCGAAGTTGTCTGGCTTTTAGCCTGAAAATAAGTGTCAGCTAATCAACCCATAAAAAGTCAAGGTTCAAAAACTGAAGTGCGCCCATTGCATCAACTAGGCAAAGCTCACGAGGAAAAATTTAGAGACTTACGAGAACAGGCACAGAAAGTAACTGACATTTTAAAAAATTATGTTCAAGTAACAAGCCTTTATATATATAACTCGAAGAGAACTTAGCTAAACGCCCTCAAGAGAACTGTTATTGGCTTTTGGAGCTTTACTGCCTTTTCAAGAATGATTTTTACTGAGCTACCAGACTAAACTATATGCTATTACCTCTGATATTCCTTCTGCAATAGGTTCAGGTCCAGTCTGCGAGAGATTTGTCTCAGAGTTCACAGCAGTCAGCAACATATCTGTTGCAAATTGCTCAACATGCTCTGATATGCATGTCAGGTGATATAGTTTGTTTGTGACCTGTGCATGCATTTGCGAAACATAAATTAGAATCACTATAACAGCAGGAAATAAAAACCATACTGCTTTCTGGGACTAATTTCCTCACAAGTCGGATGGCTTTTGCTCGGATGTCTTCTTCAGAATGAACAGAACACTGCCATAACAGGGTTAAACATGTGTGAGCAACATAGAAAATGGATAAGACCATATGAACATGAATTTAAGTATGAAAATAAAAGGAAAGTTCAGAGCACAACATTCTTTTAATGTGGAAAATATAAACTCATACATTACTTTCTGGGGTTTAGAGATCAGAACACACTGCCTATATCTTTGCAATTTTCTATACATTTCAAGCAACCAAAATCCATTATTTTCTTATCATATTTTTCTCATCTAAGTTTCAGAACTTCATATAATCTGTAGTATATACAGAGTAAACTTCAGTACCTGCCCTGATATAAAAATTTGTACAACAAGCCACACGAGGTCTTCTACATGGTAAAGATATAAATACAGACAACCTTTATTGCTGTAGAAAGCTTAACTTGACCAAACTCTACCAACCAAATTAATATGTTTCAACTGTTTTGTAGGACTAGTCAACAGGAGGTCTCGATTGGGAATGTCTAAGGCAATATGAAGGGACATAGGTTCTGAGGAAGGGGCTAGTTAGCCACTTCCACACTTGCATTATTTGACTTTACCATATTCTCCAATTCCGAGACTATAATATAACTCCAATGACACAGGTCTTGCACGAAACAGATATAATAAAGTTTGGCTAAAGTTTTTTACCTTCAGTGCTATAGCTAAGCATGCTTTTCGCTCATTTGGACGCACTAAAATTAAGCTCCAAACAGCACCAAGCCCTTGGGTAACACGCTCACTATCAACTGGGTCATGACGAGTGGAGCAGAGTTCATCAAGTAGCTTTATTGCAGAATCAGGTAAATGTGGAGCTTCTCCAAAAAGTCGGCTGAAGGACTTGTCAGAAGCAGGGAGAGCATCCAGAAATGATCTTGCCTACACTAAGTATCTTAATAAGCGAGATTCGGAAACAAGAAATGAAAAAAGTTAAATAACTCACCACTGCTATGAGAAAATTTTCATAAACAGTAGCATAGGGAGAGGATTCATCTGTGTCCAGAATTGCCACTGAATGCAGATGGTATAGAACATGTAAAACAAGGTCGTGCCCCTACAAGAAAAAGGCAAACAGATCAGAGGTTCACCTAGACATATGCTAGACTCAGTTTCCAGGAGTTGGAGAAAAAAGAGTTCATGCAGACATATAATCGCACTGCAACAGTGCACTGGCTGTGGCCTTTAAGACACTACAGTGTGTATGACTGTCCACATAAGGAAAAAGAGATTGAAAATCCAAAACCCAAATAAAAGAGTGATGGCTGAGTTTGAGGACACTGCAGCCAAACACTGCACAAAAGTACCTTGAATTCTCGATGATCCACACTAATATGTTCTCTAAGGATGATTGCAACATCATTGCCAGCATCGATCTGGAACGAGAGTATTTTTTTAAAACAAATTATGCTCGTAAACAAAAGAATTGAAGGAGAGTTTGAAATAAGGATTCCATTAGAGAAAAGCCATGATAAAAGTGGTAGCTAGAGTCGACAGCAAAACCACAAGTAACAAGTACCAAAGAGGCACTCACCGTAGCAATCAATCGGGCAATTAATGCCATGCGAATCTTGTTACAATCAAACCCATAGACATGTCTATTTGATTCAATTATCCGTTCAATAGCCAACTTTCTAACACTTATGCTTTGTTCTGTTGTAAGTTCAACATACGATGGAACACATGGCAATTCTCGGTGGCTTTCCTCTGATGCACTAATGGTTGATGCTGAAGGGAGATGTTGATCAAAATCTGGGACTGATGCTGAAGGCGAATGTTGATCAAAATTTGGGACAGACGCCATATCCACATCAAAATTTGTTTCAGAACCTGAAAACTTTGTTTCTCTGATGCGTTCATCAACACTGCAAGGAGATAGTGGAACATCTAAAGATGATTCCCCCTTTGAGGGATAAAGGCTCTCTTTGGGAACAGTCAACAAGTCATCTCTACAATCAGGCTGATTATTTATTCTGATTACTGAACTTCCCATAACCTTGTTTTGGCTATGCTCTACTGCTGTTGGATGTATTGAAACACCAGCCCCAGCCGTGACAGCAGGAACTGAAAGTGGTTTACTCGACAAGGTATCCATCTGTAGCAGAACTGATTCTTTACCCTCACCTACAGGCAGTGATGTTGGTCCCGCAGATGAATTTAAACGCCGTGGATCCATGCGACGGGGATCCTGCACAGCTATGTGTTAGTTATCTTGGAGAAAGAACATTCAACAAATAATCAAGCAGAAAACGGAAGTTTGTACCCTTCTTGGGTCGCGTCTAGGGTCGGCAGCTGCGCTATTCAAGCTAGGCCCATCGGAAAATGATGAACCAGCAGGAAGGATTGGATCAAAAGGAAGTTGTGTCGGAGGAGTAGGAGAATGGATGGAATTTATTGAAGAGGATACCACAATATCTGCTGGAGTGGCCAGTGAACTTGTCAATGTAGGGGGGCAACTAGGCAAGTGTTTCATGCTTGTTATTACTATATCAGCAAGCATATCTGGATGAAGCTTAGATATGAGAATCTCAAGTGATGCAGCTCCTCTGTCTCCTTCAGCAAGCAAAGCACCAATCATCGAAACCATTTGCTCCACTGGAGTTGACTCACTATCCGAAGGATGATTAACAGAGGACATGCCATTAGTAGAGATAGGTCCCTGTGCAGGATCACTTGTTTGAACTTGTGAAGTCAAATGCATGTTAGTATTATAGCGTAAGCGCTTCGAAGCAACCTCTCCATTGATGGTATCTTCTTCACCCTGGGGCATTATTCGTTTCTTTGATAAGTCCCAGGAATTTTGATGATTAACCTGGTTATTCTGAAAAGCAGGTTCATCATGAGACGTTACTGGTCAGTGATCAAAGCTGGTGTAGAGCTATTGAAGAATTGAAGAGTAGGAAACAAAGACTGGAAAACAACTATTACCTTGCCTGACCAACTTTCACGTGCAGCACGCTCATTAATTCTAACCAATTTATCAACTTGACGGAGAACTTGATCCGCAACATCTGCGGCATTCATTGCTCGAAAAGCTCTAAGGAGCTTGTCTCTTGACTAAAAATGCAAATAAAACAAAGCTATCTCAGTAGCAAAAATTAGCAAATAAAAAGAAATCAATAGGATACTTTTGATATATGATCTGATCATGCAAACACTTTTTAACCTTTTCTACCTAACAAGGCTTTACTGCATGAAATGACACTGTTAAAAAAAAAATTGAATCGCATATCCGTCATAAAGAGGCATGGCACCGTTCATAAACTAGACAAACAAGATATCAACATAAACGGTTGATAATTTGACCAGAAAGGCTGAAACAATTGAGGAGTTTCTCTGACACGAGGGGGCTTGACTCCACGAAATATGACTGAATTTTCCTAAAGAAAGTCTTATGTTTCTAGCATTTATATGCAACACAGATAGATCACTATGGCTACAAACTCTGCTGGACCTCTAAAACAGCTAATGAACAGAACAATAAAAGCCAAAAAACAATAAATTTTTGCTCCAGATTTCCAGTAGAGACTATATTGAGAATTAGATGGCAAAAACAACCAACATGCAACAATATTTTTATTAGCATAAAGATACTTAGAATTGATGTTCAATAATCAAGTGTTATTCAGCAAAAAACAGGGTTGAGTTGAGGAGTAATAGATGAATCATATATATATACCTCAGAGAGAAAGAAACCAATAAAGTATGAATGCTCTACCTCGGTCATAGGTGAGGAAGTACATCTGAGAAATCCCAGCAAGGCAGTTCTAATGGAATATTGAACGCTTGCAGCATGGCATCCCTTCACAGTCTCAAGATTTGGATGAAAATCCAACAGAACGGAAAGGACAGTGTTGTAGTGGACAGGCCTCTTCCTTGCTACCACTGCAAGACTGAAAGGTAAGCGACCGTCAGATAAGAGACTAGTGTCTCTTCCTTCCTTACATCCGAAATATTCATAATTGCAAATGGTTCAAGTATGCTCCTACAAATATGTCCGAATGGATCGCTGCACATTCCACCAAACAAAAGAACAATACTTGCATCAAAGAAACTACCCCCAGGTTCTTCCTATGCGAGAGCTGTTTTTAACATATACAATTATCTATTGTAAGAGACGCTAGAGTTTGAATATAACTTCATCAAGCAACTATTCCTGAGAGAAACTTTGATCATGATTATGCGGCATACAACACCACTCAGAAGCTCCTTAACAGAACAAGAAAACTTAGCTCAAACTGAACTTTTACATATCCCATTATAACAATTTGAGGAGTCAGAAGTTCTGGTCTGGAAGCATATCAGTATGATATCTGCAAAGCTAGTATATCCTAAAGATTTCCTCAAATTACAAGCTAACAATTGTAATCATTACCATGATATCTATATCCTATAATACAAAAAGATATAGTATAACTGTATAACCATCACCAAATATTTAAGATTATCTATTTTCACATTTTTCTTACTATAAGACAACTCATTAGTCAAAAATAAAGTGAAACGGAAAGAAAAATCGAAACCATCTTTGTAGAAAGTGTCTTTCCTCTGAGGGTTTAGCCCTGATCTTTCTATAAAGTTAGTATTCCCAGACATTCAATGGTAAAATCAGTTCAAACAAAAACAAACCTCTGCTAGGTAATTAGTACCTTTTGAAGCTTTTGTCAAAAGTGACAAATAAGTTTGCTATGCAGATATGAAGGCCTTCATAGTTCAAAGTGATTATAGGTATGCCACTTACTGGATATAACAACCATGAGATAACTTCTACGTCCAGCTTAAGAGGAATACATAAAATGAGATCAAGCAGCAAAATGTACTCAACTCAACATCATTCATATCAAATATCTACCTAAACCTATATATGGAGAAGAGACATTCATCATAACAGAAAGCAAAACAACAATGCAGGTAGATGTTAGGCCAGAACTCAGCATAAAGAAAGCTCTGATTGCCAAACGATACTGTGCATAAACTTTTATACTGTAATGTATACATAATATCCCAACATAACAATCATAAGTATATATATATACATCCAGTTCACATAACCAAAAAATATTCTTCTACCATGTTTCTGCATTCCCTGGAAACAACATTTCTAACTACTAGAGCTGACCATTATATCCATTGTTCAATGTCTTTATCACTTGCATATTGGAGCTCCACAGTACCCAAAAAAGGCGGGCGCCATATACTCAGGTAACTGTCAATATCTGATAACTGATGCAGCTTCAACTGAGCCATTTTCCCCCCGCACTATATTTCAGTTAGCTGCAACTATACCATAGGGGTTGAACCAGTGCTATAACCTGTCTCCATGCGTTATCTCTCTCAGCCAAAAGTTTAGTAGACACATACAAACGGAAAACAGCACTTTATTTCCCATGATGTTATTTTTCTTACAGGTCTATTTGATTCATGACACAATGAAAGTGCAAGAAGGACGACCAAGCCTGACCATGAAACTCTACTTAATAGTGGAAGATCAGGCACACATGAAAGTTATGCAAAAGAATATTACTAATGACACCCCATCGTTCAAGACAAATATCAGTGCAGCAAGACATTCTGTACGGTTCATTTATCACAAACATACATGTGAGAATGAAAGTTTCACGTTATGCACTACACAACAGAAAAACAAAAGAACAAAGAGGAAACACAACAATAAGCAATCAAAGTTTAAGAGCATCAAAGCACCCATATCAACTGGCAAGAACAATGAAATTAATAGGATATATAAAAATCATGAGCAATCATTTTGATATGACTTGCATCAACCCCAATTCAGATTATTATATAGCTTGAAACTCAGAAATTTTATGAACTGTTTAGTAGAAAGCAGATAAATACCACCATAAAAAATACTCAGGCAAGAACCCACTAAGGGTGTAAAATCTTTAGCACACTAGATTCAGTTTTTGTTATGTTTACGAGTGTTTTTAGTAATAGAGTGATCTTTCATATCTGAACAAACACATCAGCATACTGAGGGGCACAATAACTAAAATAATTCAACTAACAATGTGGGACAGCAAAAACTGTAACAGGTAAACCATCTAAGAACAAGTAACATCATGGAGAATTAAAAAAAAAAAAAAGTAAATACGCAAGAATAGTGGGATGCATCCAGAAACATACCAACTAACAACAGCTATCGTCAGTGCACCCGGTAAATGGCCAGCCGACTGTATGAGATCTAATAAGATGCCAAATGTCCTATTTGCTTCAGACATGAGCGTTGTTGGGTTCAGAATGGGGTGACAACCAGCAACCCAGGAAATGTTGAACATCTGTCTACTATCTGTAGTAGAAATAAGAAATATAGACATGCCAGCAACAAAATGAACAAATCATAAATTGTACAATTCCAGATTTATACTACCTAATCAGAAGAACAAAACTACATATTTAGAAAACAATACCTTCAATAGCAAATTTCTCAGGGTCAGATCCGTCAGGAGTAAAAAGCAAAATAAATGTCTCCATAAACTTTAGAGCCAGAATTTTCACCCCTACACATCCAGGCTGTCATGAAAGAACCCACACACTTAAGTTAGAACGCCTTAAATTGACAGAGAAGTCTGACAAGTACTTAACCAAAGACTATACCTCACAAGAGGAACAGACAGACAAAAAGAAGTGGCTATAAACAGCCAGCATACCTCCAATGCAGAGGCAAACACATCATCTTTGAACTTTACCATCCATGTCCAGAGTTCCCCAAACCAACGATCAACTTTACCATGATGATGAAACTGTAGAGATCATATACAATATAAGTGAGAATAAATGGGAATTTCAATGCACAAATCATGTCCATTGCTAGGATGAATACAGAAACACCCAGAACGATCTCAAAGTTCTCGGAATAAACACACAGTGTAAAGGTAATTGAAAAAGATAAGAAATCCAACAAAAACTTAAACAGAAAATTACCAATGCTTGTACGACTTTATTTTCGTCACTATCATATTACCTTAAAGCCTTATGACACTAGCCTTAAATTGTCAAATAAGTAACATCAACATCAAACAAACCGAAGTTTTGAAAACGAAAACAGGAGGACTGACTCCATAGGTTAACAGTTCAATCTCAAAGCAACTACGAGTATGCATACTATTTTTGTTGGTAATTATCAACTACAAATGTATTATTTTGTGAAGAGCTCATGCAAAAGTTTCAAAATAACATGTGTATGACAATAAATTCAACTTGAGAAACAGTATGGACCTGCATTGCCATCTCCTCCAAGATTCTGCAAAAGAAAGTTGTGCCAGCAGAAATAGATTTCTTTGCAACAGTTGGATCCTCGTCCCTCGATAAGACTAGTAAGACAGTGACTAGAACATAAGACTGATCCAGCATCCTCAAACCAACCTCTTCAATGATCCTGTCACCCAAAAGAATCGATCAACCAGTCTCTTCCCTTGTCAGACAAATTAATCACCATAAATCTAATTAGACTACGTTCCTGATTAATTGAATAGACACTTGTGAAAATTATGCCTGAGCACTAGACTAATATCCGCCACATTGCTGCGGAAATTTCAAATTTCATCCCACCAAAAACAAACAATCAAGCCGAGTAGAGGAATTATTCACAAAATTTCTCTAACAGCGGCTCAGGATTGGGAAAGATGAAACTTTTTTTTCAAGATTGGGAGAAAAACCATCCCCAAAAATACAGAGGAACCCTAAATAGAAAATCATCGTGAAGAGCAAAGAGAAATAGCAGCGAGAATGAAAACAAAAAAAAAGTAACACCAGGCACGAAGCGTAGACTTCTTAAGCAGTGGAAGAAGACTCACTCGATAAGCGATTTGCGAACGAGAATTTCACGCGACAACTGGAGTTCTGCGAGATAGGGGAAAATCTCAGCAGATAGAGATGGCTCCAATGAGAGCAATATCTCCTTCACCTGTCTGAGAGACGAGAGCTTCACTGCCAAATCGCCGTGGTTGTTGGCAGCGGCGAGGAGAGAAAGCGCCTGTGTCCTGGCTGTCGCGGCAGCCGCAGCCGCAGCCGCCATTACTGAATTCGAAATTCTGCAGACGGAATCGCCAATGGAGATACGGTGCCTTCGCAGTGGCTTATCTTTAGGGTTTTTCAAGCTTGAAGAAGAATCTCGACGACACAAGAGGCAGCACAGGGCAATTAGGCAGAGAGAAGGGGAGGAAAAGAAAAAAATAGAAAATAGAAAAAACGAAAACGGGGGATGGGTTCAATAACAACTCCTAAATTTTCTAGGTCCGCCAGACGCAAAAACAGCTTGTCGTTTCATTTTTTGGCAGTTGCAAAGAGTGCCGTTTGCTTGACATGGCTAAAAAAGAGTTTAAAAGCATCTCTAACACGAACTCTTGATTTTTTTCTCGAGAAATTTAAAAAAATGCCACTTTTCAAGTGCCACTTTACAAAAATATCATATTTTTGAAATTTTTACAAAAAATGCTATTTTTTCAAAATTATTTTTTATATTATTTATATTTGGGTTAATTATGTTCTATTAAGATTTAGTTATGAGAGTTTAGGGGGGTTTAAGGATCAAAACATTT